AACACCGTTGCGATTTGTATAATAACGATTACTAAGGTGATTGATAATCGAAGCTAAGCCCCTACATGTTAATATTACTGATAAACATTCATACATGCCATTAATCTCAAAATTTATTTAAATTAGAGCTGAGATTTCTTAACTTTTTACGGTAATCGATCATATGTTTCAAAAAGTTCATTGTGAAGTTTTTTATGGTTATAGTTACAATTAAAAAGTGAGGACATTGGTAAACACTGGTAACGTGTACCTGATTGAAAAGAATCTAAATTAGGCATCTATCAGAATACATTATTTGTCGTTAACTAATTAACTAATAGATGGTGGTTGACGGTAGTCGACAGGAAACCCTGTACCCGGGTTTCGTGCTACTTGGCATCCGTCAGCTAGGTGTACCTGTAATCCTGAGGGAACTGATGCTCCCTGACGGATTCGATCCCGTGTCACCCAGCTTCACAGTTAGAGACATTACCACTGTCCTCCTGTGGGACTGAGATGTAATCACAATTGATTGATCACTGGGTGGTGATCAATGTCATGTTTGTCAAGCCCTTATTAGTGCAGATCAAATGCTGTCGACTAAATTGAAATATGGCCACTAGTTTAGGTGATTCGACATTGCGTACACTATGTTCAGATAGCTGAGTGGTAAAGTCTCTGACTGTGAAGCTGGGTGACACGGGATCGGATCCGCCAGGTAGCATCAGTCTCCTCAAGATTACAGGTACACCTTTCTGGCGAGTGCCAAGTAGCACGAAACCCGGGTCCAGGGTTTCCTGTCGACTACCTCCAACCACCATCTAATCTCAACATAGTGCACGCAGTGTCGAGTCACCTAGACTGGTGGCCACATTGCAACTTGGTCGATAGCATTAAATCTGCACTAATAAGGACTTGACACACATGACATTGATCACCACCCAGTGATATATATATAATATCCTGGAATTAAATACATAATTCATACTGTTTTACAGGCATGATCAGTCTTCATTTGAACTATAAGATTAAAATTGCTTTATATCTTTCTTTCTACCAACTAATTCTTTCTTCCTGTACTATATTCTTATACGCGATCCTTCTTTTATATATTACCACCACTGAATTAACTACTTCTATGACTTCGGTGTTCATCTTTTGCTAATGAGGCATGGCAACTCGGACCGATGCATATATGTGTCTGGTCCTACGTTGTAGCTGACTGACGTACTACACGCATGATCAGTTTGATAAAAATAGCATCGTAAAATGTAAAGGATTGATATATGATTTCATATTGTTTGAAGTGCCACAGTTCAAAAATTGTTTGGGTAACGCATTTTTTGTATGAATTATAACATGTGGAGCATTAGTCGGGAAACATCAATTCTTTATAAGTGGATGTCCTTTAGATGTATGAAAAGTGTATATAAGGTTATTTCCAGTGACTTATTGGAGTAATTACATTCATCTACAACTAGAAGAGATAAATCGGAAGTAGAAAGCATAGAACAACAATAGTATCATTTAATATGATGGGTTCACCATTATCACAAGTCTCAACTTGTTTTATAATCTATTGTTCGGGTCAGACATTATTTAAATTAGTTAAGCTTAACAGGAACGGTGTATGTGTAAAATATCTTCAGGAAAAGAAGTTTAACAGATATGCTCAGTAATAATAATTAAATATTGTGGAATAGGATATACTAAAAGGTGTAAGCACATTTAAGGGGTTTTCAGGGAAGTAAACATTGATACAATGAACGAAGGATGCGAGTGATTTTACTTCGCAGACAGATTACGGCAAGTCATCCCGATTTCGAAAGTCTACTGATAAAGTAATTCATATAGAGATTTAGGATAAGATCTCTCTACTAAAGATAAGGCGTTATGGATGCTATAACTAGATATTTCTGCATATTTAATTGTATTTCTGAATATTAAAGATAGTTTAAGTATTTTGAGAAAGATTAAACTTAGTTTAAGAAGTTTATTCTGGCTGTTTGTTGTCGGTCACTGAGGAAAGAATTAAACCAAGCAAGCAATGGTTTGCTTATAGGAAGCTGGTGGTTAACCATGTCGATAGCTTAGAAAAATTTCAACATACAGAAACGAAACTAGTTGTCCTTAGATGCGTTGATTAAAAAGCAAATTAAAGAAGTCAGTGCCAGGTAACAAAAGATCTAGTTTTAAGCTGGAAATTGGCGATGAGCTTTCACTAATAAGTTTTCCTATTATCCTAGAAATAACTGAAGTAATATTTATGGGCCGATATTTGTTTACTTCGGTTTTGTGTTCATGTTTGTATCATGGCATGATATACACGATTTTCTATAGTAAGAGAGCCGCTTATCAAACCAAACAATCAATGATAAAACTAGTAAACAGCCAGTGCTTCTCCACTCTCCTAACATTGTATGATTATTACGACTTAACTGATTGGATAAAATCTTGTACCACCGATGTTCAAACCTTAACAAGACAAATTATAAGACGAAGGGCCATTAGTTGGTCGATTAATTATGTCAGTACTAGGGAATTAAAGGTAGTGTTTATGTAATAAGTATTTCAACCAAATTAATATGGCTACGAGTTATCTGGCAGTCACTATATTTGGATAATTAAAGACGAAAATGAACGTTACATAACAATTAATGGAGGTAGAGCTCTAACCTACGACGAAAATGCTGTTTTGTCAAATTACCAATAATCCAAGGTGTTACTTGTAAACTCCGAATTGATTGATTCTTAAAGGGAAATAAAAATTGCGATTTATTTGGGAGTTCTATGGGTACAACTTAGGAAGTTTTTGCCCCAAATCAAGAAGTGTCAACACAACTCTTTTGTTCGAATTCAGGACTCCCAACTCACCTTACTGTCAAGACAAGTAAAGTAAAATGTAAGTTTGTAGACGATAGGCACACTTGTCTGTAATATATCAATGAGTTGTTTGTGTATATAAATTACTCAGAAGAAAATTTTTGCTTGCATGTTCCTCTGAGTATTAAAATATATTAAAAGATTTTGTAAGCTAACTTTTTGGCGTTACTGTACAAAACAAGATATTGATACGGTATGTAATCTATATTTAAACTGGATTTTTGAACGCTATATAACGACATCTAAGCCAAATGTCCAAATAACCTTATAAGAAATATGCTTACGGTACGGAATGACTGTGGATTACTATGTTGGTTCTTAACTTTACACCTAATATCACTAATTAATAGTCAGCAAAATCTCTTAATCTGACCTTCGAACATAATTAAGTCATTTACAGAACGAGGATATTAGGTAAATTTACTAAATCAAATCTCAAAAGAACAAAAAAACGGAGTGGACCCCTCGAAGAAAACAAATAAAACAAGTAACACATAAGAAGAATTTTACAAACTGGTGTTTGCATAGATAGATCATCATGATGAGTGTTTAGTATACAAACCAATAAATCCATTGACTCATCGATTAATCGAATGAATCAAACAAATAAACCAAGGAGGAATTCTATTTTTAAAAATGGGAACAGAGAGAAAATTGTATATAAGTTGGTTGTGTATATGTGATAGTTACAAGACAAGTCAATTTAAAACATTCATTAAATGAAATCTAAACAGGATATGCCATTCACCAATGGTCTTTTTGTTATTTTATATCAAAATGACAACAAGGAAATAATTATGATAATAATAACGAAAATGAAATTTATTGATAGCTAACAAAGTCGTGGGTGGCAACAATAATCACAATGGTGGGAGTACAGGAGTAGTGAGGGTTTCAACCTCTACTACCACTAATATTACTACTACTAGGAAATAAGTGGAACAGAGCAGTTGTTAAACAATCCGAACACAAGAGTGAATGAAACAGAACAACACATAAAAAAAGAGCTCATGTTTGCTCAATGAAGTAACAAAAGAGAAAAATTAGACAATAGTGGACGTGATGTATATTTATACATGTACACCTCTTGTTTAATTTGAAAAATGTCTATAATTGATAATAATGATAACAATAATTGACAGCGGACAGCAGTGTTGAGTGTTGGTTCAATGGATAAAACAAATGAAAATAAGAAACAGAATACAAACATTGATACCACCAAGAAGGAAAAACAAAACAGTCAATCCTCTGATATTACTCAGTGAATAAAAGAATACACAAACTGAAAGTCTAAATTAATAAGTAATAATATTTGAAAATAACATCTACACTGGTGTTAATGATAATAATAAATAACGGCTGTTTGTAGGCGCACACACAATCTTTAACAAATAAAACGAATAGACAATAAGAAATCCAAGCCCTCTTAAACTAAACAAATATGGTTAAATAAATATATTGGTGTATTATATCTGTTACATTTGTTTGATAGTAGAATCTAGAAGTTTGTGGACCAGAGAACAACAGAATAAGTTGACAATAGAATTCAGAAAAATCAGTAAGACAAACCGCAGGAATGAATATAAAGAGAGATGATAATAACAAGTACTTACATTTGAACCACTATAGAATAAAATTGATGCGGTAATATTCATATGTTGTGATAGTAGTACTCGAAGTATTAGTAATAGTAGTAGTAACTCTAGTTATGTTTACGCGGAAATAGGGATATAAAGTGGGACTAAAGGAAAACACATGCTAAAAATGTGCTTCTCATAATGTAACCCGAAAATGGGCATTAAATAATAATCTAACAAATAGAAATAACACATATAGATGTATATATACACAAATATAAGTGACTATTGCGATGTACAATTCATTTATTAATGATAACAGTATGAAATAATATTAAATTATTTACTTATTGAATAACAATTAAAATAAGTATAAAAAAACAGGAATATTTGATAGTGAGTAAATTCGAAGAAAACTATAGAAATTTAAAATTAAACTTATGTAATGAAGTGGCGCACAGTAAAAGGGTACAAACACTAAGAGGACAAAAAAAGAACTCAAAAACGTCAACGAAATGCATAATAATAATAATAACAATAATAATAATAATAATAATAATAATAATAATAATAATAATAATAATATAACAATATAATCCATCTGAGCTTGTGTTTTTTAGAACAAAAAACATTTCCTTGAGAAAATAATGACAATATAATAAAAATGATAACTAGGAGAGTTAATAACCACCTAACGTAAGTTTCAATCAAGGAGCACGTATGTGTGTGTGTGTGTATACAGAAGATAAACCAGTTACGATAGTTAAGAATGTGAATCTGAGATAATAAAGGACAAAAACGAAGAGAAAGGGGGAAAACACAAAGGTGAATATTAGAAATAGAAGAGAAATCAGCTATACACATACGCACACTCGCAGAACGAATGCAAATAAAATATTCAAACAGAAAACAAGTTTCTAATTCGTGGTAGCAGTAGTTGTAATGTTAATGGTACCAGTTAGTAATATATCACTGAAGAATTCGAGAAGCGATCGGCCTACATTTTTGCACACAAATTTACATTATCAAAATGTTGAAGAACCATGTTTAAAACCATCATCCTGCTTATTTATTCTTTACATTCATTCTTTTATTGAAGAAAAAAATGTTAGGTCAGATCAGAACTTATTCCTCGCTCTTTTATTTCACCATTTAAATCATCACGAAAGTAGAATCACAGTGTAGAAGGAGAAAACAAGTAGTAAAAATGGAGATAGTATTTTCTAAGAATTTTGCATCGAATTCATATTCCTCCCTCTCACACACACGCAGACAATGAATGGAGCAAGAGTAGCTTTTCTCGTACACAATAAATGTGGCAGTTTTGTTTCACGAAGATGAAGAGATATGAAAAAGAAAACAAATAATTTCAGTCAAACACGCATAAATTTGAGTGCATCTGTGTGCGTGTGATCAATTAGAAGAGGCAGTGGGAAATATTTCAGTTGAAAGTATTTTGTTAGTGTCATGATAAATGGTCATCTTTTGTGAAATTCTATGCACATGTGTGTTATAACAAAAATTCAGCCACATAATAGTGTATGTGTGTGTGTAAACGAGAAAGATACAAAGTTGTTTTAATAATAGAGGAAAAAAGTGTGCGTAAGCAGTTTATTTGTTACATTTATTATTATTATTACCACTATTAGTATTGCTGTTTGTGGCGGCAAATATATGACTATTTAATGTACGCCGCTTTTTTGGTTGATGTGAATAAATAGTCTGATTGGGCGGTGTTGTATCCATTAGCGATGTGTCACGATGTTTACTCATACAATTAGCAGTTAAGTCGCTATGATTTCTGACAGGATTCTGATGTTGATCCCATAAAATTGGAGATTTATCTAACTTTGGAACAGTTTTTGTCCATATACTTGACTCATTTGTATCACCTTCAATGTTTATACGAGGATTTGGATTTTGAAATTCTAAATGATTTATTTCTTCACTTGGATCATCAACAGGATCCCTTGTGAGACTATCTGTTTCGGAAGCTGTTGGAGTAGATGAACTGTGACTACGTCCACCTTCTAAAGGACTTGGATTACTGGATGATTGCAGAGTTTCAGGACAAACGTTAGAATCTAAACGATCATGTACACTAGGCAATGAAGATGATGACATTGAACGATGAATATCAAAATCCGAATTATTTGACGAATCAATTTTACGCTTTAAATTTGAAGATAGCATAGATGATGCCATAGTTAAGTATCTAGATGATGAATTAACTGGATCAATCATAGAATTATTAGAAGTGAAATTATGTTTATGATGTGGACTAGAAGTAATAGAAGCAGTTGTATTCATAGCAGAAGCATTTCTCAAATGTGTCTCATCGCCAGAATTCATTGATTTGAGTTTATTGATTGACTAAAGAGAGAAAAAACAAATGATGAAAGCTATTCATAGATGTATATTAGGTAGAAGTAGTATATAAATAGAACGTAGAGAAATTAACAAATTCACATTATTATGATACCAGTTATGCAGTGCCTGTTGAATAAGATAAAAAGGTATGAGCTGATTGGTCAAACTGTAATGACTTGGATACGTGATTTATTAAACAAAATTTCAATTGTCATTTAAGTTGAAGTAATATTATGAGAAAAATTGCAAATACTGGGACATGAAACTGCCTTCAATTTTATTCGGTCTATTTCATTCCGAACAAATCAGTAAGATAATTGTTATTTGACTAACGGCGAGAAACCTTAAAAACGTAATTATCAACCAAAATTGTTTTCTTAAGGATAATAACTAACTTGGATCAAAACTGGTGTTTACTTTTATAAAGAAAAAACAACTAAGTAAAACTCCATCTCTATTCAATATTTTTCTCATTTGAATTGAAGCACAAACCTAATAAACATAATTGTATAGTGTTAGTATTGTCTAGTTCGGTAACTTTACTAAGTAGAGTGATAAGCCATTTTCGTGCCATATGGGTCATTTAATTAACTAATATATGGTTTCCTCAATGTTCAACAAACATCATCCCCATAGTGAAAACAAAATCAGTTCAATGAGTCTGAATTATGATTTGCTAATACATTAACAATAAATCTAATGTGTTAATTGAATCCTGTCTCATTCTCATAAACTCAATTTAGTAAAGAATCAATGACTGATGATAGTATGAATTTAATTTTAGTGATTCCAAATCTTTTCATGTCATAACTATCACTTGAAAAATCGAATGTTAGAAGTTTGATTAAGGTAGAAAATTGGACCTACGCCTAGTTGCCTTAGTTACAGTTGTTGAGATATATGATTAACCTTATCTAATATATGTATAAGGAAGATAGTCGCGCAATATCGTGGATTGATTGAAATTAGACAGTAAAACCGTTGGATCCCAGCTCAGTGATCTAGATGTTAAGAGTTTGCGCGATACCGAAGTTCCTGGGTTCGAGTCCCGAGTGCAGAATAGTGGATGCGCACAGCTGAGAAGTCCCATACTAGGACGAAATGGCTGTCCAGTACTTCCAGGTTTTCTATGGCGGTCTATCATTGATCTCAAGTGAAACTCAACAATCTCTATAACCCCATGCTGATATGTATAAGGAACTTGATTATTAGAACTAAGTAAACAGTCAGCTACTGTCTCTCAAAAACAAATCAACTCTTTTCATTACTATCAGGACATGGGTGGAGGGGATGAAATTATGAAGTATAATTATAATCATCCTGAAAACGAACAAATAATTTATGGGGATTAGTCTATGCTTTACGTGATTTAAGTGGTGATCAATCATCTCGAGAGAGAGAGAATGAAATATGTGCAAGAAAAGAAGAGCTGCAGTTCTCTTAAAGAACGCTAAACTTTTCCAACTTTAACTCGTCAACTATATTTCGTGTAACTTTACGAGAGAAGTGAAATGATGGAAAGAAAGTTATTTAGTGGCTGAAGGAAATCGATTTTAACTCTATTAGTCATGGATCTGGTATAATATATTAATTGAATATCTCTATAGACAAATGATAATTTCAACTCTTAAATATGTACTTAGTCAATTTGTTTGATAATTCTTTCATCGGATATCTAATCAGTTTCATTTTACCACGAATGAGGGAAATAAATTCGTATGAATCTGATTATTTTATATGATGAAGTAAACAGAGTAAACAAAATACCTAAACTAATTCCACTGTTTTTCTCTAGTAAATAAGCGGGAAGAAATCGGTACTTTTAGAATTACATTAATCTAATATATCATTCTATCAGTCATCCCAGTAAAGACACGTTGTTACAATATCTAAATAAATTCTACTAAAGCTAAATTATAAAGTTCTTTTTAATCTTAAAACTGTCTTAAATTACTGTATTGACACAGGCAAACACCATCTTCATAAACGAAAGGCAATCGGAGTGAAGCGAGGTTATTCACAAAAATCCAGTTAATTTTTTGTCTAAAATATGACCAAGAATATAATTTTCATATATGTTTACTATTATTAACTGCTACGACGTATACTTCTATAAGAAACATAAATTTACCGAGAGATCTAATCGAGATACTACATTACTAAAGCTATTGTAGACACACCCATATCGGTAATAACAAAATTTCACAGTAATATTCAGTCACATGACTTATAATTGGTGCAAATGAATGTTTTTAAATAAATCTTATGACCTCTATATTGGACTATTTTAGTTAACTAGTTTAATATTTTGCGTCAGTAACAAATAACTAAAGACAGTTTCATGTGATCTCCAATAAATGACCTTTAGCTTACATAACCGGCGATAAATATTCCAGCAGTTAAAGTTATGTCCTACCAAATCTATTTGGATTAAATTTCTGAAAAATTTATATTAAGAAACTAAAATTTTAAAGTATATAAAAATGTAAGGTTTATGAAGTTGTGATACACGTGAAAAGACTAAACAAGCCATGAAACACTGAAAACATTTTCTGATAGTATTGTCAACGTTGATTATTCTAGGTTAATTTATAAAAAGTTATTTCAACATGAATTTTATGGCTTAATGTCATTAATTCAATTCATATTTTTATAGTACGACAGCGTAATGTCAAGTATGATCATTTCATAATCACTTCACAATAATCGCATGTCAAAGAATGAAGCGATATAAGAATGGAAAAAGATCAAAAAAAACTTGATCACAAAGAAATTGGGTCAGGTATCTCAGGATACTACATTAAACTGTGCAGCTCAGCTGTGGTGTGTGCTACTTATGTAGACATAAGTAGTACATGACGTTAGTCGTGAACAGAATGTCTGGCAGCAGAGAGACAAGAAGATCAAACAGTAAAGAATGAAAACAGAATGCGATTTGTATGGAAATGCAAGAACAACAAAGTTTGAGTCATCATGAGACAATTGATGGACATTTTGCAAATTGAGCATTTACTTTATGATTGTTAGATTTTATTAACAAGTTCTGTAATTTGTTGTCAAATACATCCGATTGTTCCCCACCCGTGTTCGTGCTCACTACACAGCTAGTACGAACCTAAGAAGAGAATTTACAAGTCATAGTGAAGCTGAACCATACCATTGAATGACTTTGAATCCGAACCTATCTTAGTAATTCAGGAGATGCCAGAAATAAAAGAAAACTCATTTTGTTGGGATCAGACTTAGGGTTAGGGGTACAGAATACATGAATTAGAACCAGAACGTGAAGTTTAGGGACATCCTAACCTATTTAAAAGTTATTGGGTCGTCAGGACTACAATTTAGGCTTTAAGGTTAGAGTGGAGTTTAAGGTTTAGGTTAAAAATTCGTTTTTAAATTAGGGCCTGCGATTAAGATGGAGAGTTTAGGATTTAAGATTAGAGAATGATTAAGTATAACTTTACATTCAATATCTAACCGTAAAGCATAGTTCCAACCCTAAACCTGAATCAAAACACCAATCCTAACGGTAATGCCAAGTTCCCAAATTTTAAACCTTAATCTTAACTCCAATCATAAACCTGAATCCTAAACACTTAAACCTGATCTTTAAATCTAACTCGTAGTCCTAAACATCAGCTTTATTTTAAAAAAATTTAAATATTTTCAGAGTGAAATTATTTATAATACAATGAACGAGCAACAACCTCATGGTGAGACCACTTATTTCATTATTAGTTAGAGACTTCTTATTTGATATATGCTCCGTAACGTTTTAGTGATTCGCATGGCTTGGTGGTATAGTTCAGCTTTATCGAAGTCATTAGTACAAATACACCACTAACTGCGCTCACACTTTAATCATCAATTAAGACAGGTAAATTTAGTAAAAGATTATCTATCTATCGGTGAGTATGTACAACTGAAACAAATTATGGACAGAAATAAAGCATTCATGGCATAAAAAATTAACTCATGTTTGTACATTTTGGTGTTTATAGAGTATTTACTATTTAATCTTTTAAGTGTATATATCTTTACACCAATGATAAACATGCATGCACACAACACAACAGGCATAAAAATGCCTACAATGAACACGGATATATAAACTTCTAGTCAAAACAAGGATGGTAAATTTCTAGGTCTATCTAAATGTCAAACCGAACAGTATGAAACACGTTCATGTATGTATATGTAGTCCGATAATGAGTTTCTTACTAAATTTCTGTGTTTCACATGATCTGATATTTTACTTGACTTAGTAAAAACCAATTGAAGAATTTGTTGACAGTAGAAAGTATTGAGAAACTTTCCGCATAATTTCGGACTTCAAGTTACCCGTCTGAATCGCCCTCTAATGTGATCAAAATAAAAGTGCTCTGCTTTTGTAATGAGGACATTATCAATAAATTTTCATATTTCAGTGGACTAGTATATTATGATTTCCGATGCACTCAAATACATACCGAGTAATAAGTAGTTGTCTAGTCAACTTTAAAAAAGCCTGTCAATCATTTTTCAGCAGAAACTGCTAAGTAAATACAAATCCACCGAAATATTGAATAAGAAATAAAACTGAAACTCACAGAGATAATTCGTGTTGGATCAATAATCAACGGTGAAAAATCATTTCGTGATAAACGAGACAAGTTATTGTTGTTACCGTCATAATTATTGGCATTATTACTATTTTGGATAACAGAGTGAATCAACATATCATCTGATCTGTTGTTGAACCCAGACTTATTATCTAATTCTGTATCAAAAGGGTGAAATCGGTTTTGATTTCCAAAAGAGGTTGTGGATGTAGATGAAGTTGTTATCGTCGATAGAAGTGGTGGTTGAGATGATGCAAGTGGCGCATTATTCGACATAAGTGGCATTGATGTATTATTATTATTATTATTATTATTATTATTATTATTATTATTATTATTATTATTATTATTATTATTATTATTATTTGTAACAAAGCCTTGTAACTGAGGCTGACAATGTAGTAGTTGAGTTTGAGTTTGTGTAAGCTTCTGCAATATAAAAAAATTGAAAACAAAATAATTATACACAAAAATTGAGTTTATCTTCATTTCTTTTTAACTTAATTACAAACTAATCTTTCATGTACATTAATCATAAGTTTACAGCACTTAATATTTCTCTTAATACAATACACAGGTCGTTGACGTCGGACGACAAACATTTTTGATACTTTGTATACTTTTTAAATCTTTTAAATTGTATTAAGAATAAAATTCTTTTTATTATAACAGACTTTAAACATTCCAAGGATCAAATAAGAATTTTTTGTTATCGAAGCAATTTGTAAAATATTCGTTAAAAAAAAAAGAATCAATCAACAGAAAATAATGATTCAACAACTAATCAATTTGTGTAAATTAGAATTCTACACAGTAATTAATCAGTTTAGAATGCTTGACATACTTAAAGTATGAAGAACAAACACTGACCAAAGGGAATATTGATACCAGTTGGAAAAACAATAAATTCCGGGGAAGGAAACATTGAAAAACGTGTAATAGGACTTGAACAATTTGACAGAGAATATAATACAATCATACGCATTACTATGATCAGTTTGGATTCTATTTGACAATGAGTTTGAAATTTTTTTACGTTTTATACAATAATTTTAATGGTTGAGATCAGTCAGTTGAAGATAGACCATCATGGAAAACCTGGAAGCACTGGACTGGCGTTTCTTCATATTGTGGGAATCCCCAACAGCGCGCACCCACGACCCCGCTCCCCGCGAGATTCGGACCCAGGACCTATCAGTCTCGCGCGCGAGCGCTTAACCACTAGACCACTGAGCCGACCGGCATCCAACGATGTTAATGTTTAACTTCAACCAATCCACGAAATTGCACCACCGTCACCATTGTCTTCAGTGTGCTGTGATATCTCACAATAGACCTGGTTGAACTCCACTGGTCACTGCTTCTCACTAGAACTCCAGGATATACCTCTTGAAGCCAGTCACTGGTGAGTATATATTGATTAATATCAGAAGGGGTATTGTGGATATTATAGTAATTTCAATGGTTGAGATCATACAATATTTACAAATTTATAATACAATAACATTTACTTTAAACAGTTTAACAAAATTGAAATACAACCTAAGAAATTCTTTAAACATTAATTTATACAACAAGACTGTATGTATTGTAATTAACAATTATAACTGTTTGATTTAATTGAATTAAGAACAAGTTCCGTGTACAGATAGTTTTGAAATTGCATAGAAGCTTTCATATTGACAAGTAATATTAACCTGTCAATTATTTAAAACATTACCCTGGAAAATATTATCTTATATCAAGAAACATTTTATAACAACAAATCATTGACAAGTAACAAAGTATAACATAACAAAGTGAATACAAGAAAACAATGATATTTCATTCCAAGTGTTAATCAATCAAAATTTTCTATTTATTGTTGTATTGTGTATTATTCATATTAAGCCTTTTGAATCGAACTATACAAATAGAACTTAAGCTATAATAAATATATATGATAATTTACCGAGTTATTTATGTTTATCTGGACAAAAATATTCGCTTCGGCGCATTCTAATGTATTTTAAAGGTTAAATGACAAAATATTGTAGAGAGAGAGAGAGAAAGGGAGAGGGAGAGAATGATTATTTATGTTTTATGATTGTAATCCGCTCACATGAAATACTTCGTAATACTTTTTCTGTTTAATATATAAACTTCTGAATCATATGATGTTTAAATAAATTAAATTTAAAAGAAATAATCCATTAGATCGTTTAGTACAGAGATTATTCAAAGGCAATTGATATTACCAACTGAAAGAATATTTCAAAAGTTTACTTCTTAAAACTATAGATATTTAGAGGAAAAAAAGAATAAATCACCTATTGTAAACAATAGGGGAAATTTTTCCTCAATTCCGATCTTTTTACCCATTTTAGTTTATAATCTAACATTCATATTTTTCTATTATGTTAAAACACTGAAATTATAATACAACCAGTGAAGTCCAATTATGTTAACTATGAGATAAATACCAATCAATGAATGAATAATGGTCGTACGATAACGATAACGGACTTCTGAGTTTTATTACAAAGAGAGAACAGCTGTCATATGAGTTCTAGTTCTCATTAATTGTGAAACTAAGATGAGTCTGTAGTGTAAAACTACAAATAATTAAGTCATTGGATATTAGCAAATTTAAACTGATATTAGGTCACTCTACATCTGACATTTGTTCTGCTATCTCACTCGGTTAAGCTAGATAATATGAAAACTAGTAATCTCTGTACTAATAAAACTATTTCACCTCAGTCAACGAATATCCAGTTTCTTTGCCCTGGAAATGAAATACAAAACAATTTCTTCCTCATTATATTAACTGGTCACCTAATATCTAAGTTAAACCAAGCTTGAAATACCCATAGTTAGCATGTCTAGAATGACGACTGACAACGGGAAACTTGAGTATTGACAAGATAAGAGTTATAAAGCCCATAGTTACTGGTCGATATTCTAACATGCAAGTCAAAAGAACCGATCGTTCAATATATCTTAACATGAACAGTGCTAATCTAAAAGAAAGAAACTTATACAAAGCTGGGAAAGAAATCAGGAAAACATACACGCTTGTTATTGTTCAAATGTAGTTTCGAACGAAAATATGGTTGGTTTGAACATATATTCACCAATAAGTGTGAATCTATAAAAAAAATGTATGTCATTCAGCAAAGCCTAGATATAAAATGAGAATGTATGAAATGGATGCAGTTCTAATTGATGGACAGAAAAGACAAAAACATAAGACAGGAAGGAAAAAGAGGATGTCACAGTTTTTATTATTGTTATTGCAGATATCAATCTCTAAAATCTAGAATAAAAGACAACCACAAACAACAACTGTAAGTAGGGAAAAAACTGCCACCTAAAGCACTACTGCCCATTATATAAAACAACCAACTAAGCTACATCCATATAGCATGAACCAATAAACATATAATTACTAAATGAATGTGAATATATAACAATTAGAAAACCCTTGGGTAGTGTCCTTCTTCATGGATAAGATATCAATTAGGTACAGAGTAACAAAGACAAGCAATTTGCAACGAACTAACAACTTAACTCGCTTCTAATGTCAACAAAAAAAGAAATAAGAATACATGTTTACAAATGCATCATTTTTCGTGTCTATGTGTACAATTATAACATGTGTTAGAGATTTTAAACACATACAACAAGATAGACTGATTACTTTAAGCTTGTCTGGATTGAATAATGGTCAGAGAAAATTTTCTTCTAGTCAGGTCTTAATGAACTGGATTTCAGATACAAAAATCGTTTATAATAATAAATTAGTGTTTTTAATAATTTTTTTAAAGGCAGTCACTTATTATAAATGCCAAAAAGCAAATTTATTTAGATCAAAATATAAACAGATCTAAGTTTTCTTGGAAAATTATAACTTTTACAGGTTAGAAGTTTTCCCCATGATAACGCATTGAATATGAATTTTACGCAGTAAGAGTATGCTATCGCATGAGGATCATATGAGTCTAACAATACAACATACTTTGTAACCACAGTAACAATATATGTAGATCACTTTAAATGACACAGTATTGTAGGTTTTCATTTATGTGATTTTAGATCATTTTAAACCAGCGACGTTCCACAGTAGAAAAATGAGTTCATGCTGATAATTTAGCCTGATACCTTTTAGTAGGATGAATTCTTCCAGTGCAGTGTACTCAATGAGATATAACAATCAACAGAATTCAATCCACTAACCAATGAGAAAAATAATAATCGGCTGTAAAATCAAAGACCAGATCAAAGCAAAAGAGTAATCAAACTATTTAACTAAATAATAATGGTACAACTATCAACAATAATCAAACATATCTTATATCTCAACAAGACAGGCTGTTAGCTAATCCAAGGAGGAAATTTAAAAAGCTTACTCCATTTTAACGTTTAACTTGTATAGAAAAAACAATTAAAGCTTCACATTTTAAACTATTTTCAACACTGACGCTATGATGTCAACAAAACACTGGTTCGATTATCCTATATGGTTACAAAAACGATGACGTCATAAAAACTCAGATGAATAATTCACGTACTTTTTCTGTTGGTGAACTTATTGAAGAACTTGCTTATTCAATGCAGTGAAAATCAACTGATGTAAAAAGACACACTGCGTTGTTGAATTTGAATGACTAGTTATTTAAATGATTCAAACACTTAGTTTCCGTTTATGTAATAAATTCATCCACTTAATAATCTATAAGAAAGTACTCATCCCAATTCCAAGTAAATTGTCTTATTTCGTCTGAATGTCATATTAATTATAACTCGGAGAATACAGCACCAATAAAGTATCGGCCTAAGCTGTAAAGCTCCAGTATTTTAATATCGGGAGTGCTTCTGTGTTGTTAGCACATAGAGAAAGCACTGAAGAATACAGGTGTTAAAATATGAAATACTAAAAAGAAAACAATGCAGTTGACGAGATGATAATAATTCATCAATCTAGGTGACTAAGACAAACACTGTCTGTTTGTTAATATATGAATTGTTACACTGATGTGGACGAAAAATAACGGATTTTCGACAAGGGATGAAGTTAATACTGTGGTGTATGCTGCTTATGTTGATAGATATAAGTAGTATGCAGCACCAATCGGAAGTTGAATGCCTGCGAGCAGAAAATTGAGAGCATTGAAATGAAGAGAACAGAACAGAAAACTAAAAGAAGTCAAAATAACAGGAATGAAGGAACGAAGAGACAACTGATGGAAGATGTGCAAATGACGTATTTAATTTATGATTTTCATATCCTACGAACACACTGTAATTTTGTATTAAACAATAAATTTGTCTTTCGCACATGACTAACAAGAATACATTGTTTATTTTCTCAATACGACATAAAGTAAAATGGGTTGAATACACACATTGTTAATAATGAGCAGATATAGAGTAATGATTAAAAGAAAGCAGTAATAAGCAATATCAAAACATTACCTCATGGAGTTTCTGATTTTCATCCATCAATGATGCTATATGTGTAGCATAACAAGTTTGCATAGATATGAATTGCTCAAACAGCCTTTGACGTGCTGCATCCACACCAGATCTTGATTCAACTGCAATCGTATATTCATTGATAAGTCGAACTAAATCTGCCCAAATCGCTTCTAAAGCTAAAACCGCGGCAGGTAGACTATTTTTCATTGGATTTGTCACTAATACTGGGGTATTATTCACTGGATTTGAATAAGGATTTTGAGTATCGACTGTATTAGGCACAGAACGTCTAGCATTTGGTAATTTCATAGAATCTCCATTAGAATTCTGTACATTAACTGTAACAACAAATAACAGTTAAAATGTGAAACGTTATAAATATTTCAAAATTTAGTTATTCTCATTTATTATAATACAAAATGACACTAATCGACAAACAGAAATCTAGAGATTTTTTGAAAAATATGATACCAAAGAGTATATCTAAAAATAAGATTCTACAATTCTTCGCTATCAAGATAACCAATTTAAAAATGATGGTTTAGAGTTGTATAAGACCTTTTCTAAGAAGTTTTAATAGTCACCCAGGAAAAATGATTAACTCCGCCTGTAGCTCTCCTAGAGTTACTGCCGGTTCCAAGCCCGGATAAAGGAGGAGGGTTGGGCATGGGGTTAGCGTCCCCATCCCGTAGAAAACTAACTCGCTAAAAAAACGCTAACCAGAAAAAATAACTCAAACCATTCAAACTCTGCCCTGGGAGTTAGAAGGTCTTCATTTAGAAAAAATATGACGCCTCATGGTGAAAGCCGAGTTCCTTCGGAAGCCACGAGGTCGATGCCTCTTCTAACAACCAGAGCAACAATTTTTATAGGTACATGGAACGTCCGGACAATGTGGGAGACCGGGAAGACCAGTCAAATAGCAACGGAAATGAGGAGATACAACTTGGCAGTACTGGGAATCAGTGAAACCCATTGGACCCAAGCTGGACAACAAAGGCTAAATACGGGAGAGATGCTGCTATACTCCGGTCACGAAGAGGAAAATGCTCCACACACTCAGGGAGTTGCTCTAATGCTGTCCGAAGTAGCACAAAATGCACTGGTCGGATGGGAATCTCACGGATCCAGAATCATCAAAGCATCATTCAAAACAAAGAAGGAGGGGATCACAATGAACATTATCCAATGTTATGCACCCACAAATGATAGCAACGACAACATTAAAGATCAATTCTATGAGAGGCTGCAATCAATCAGAGAGAAGTGCTCAAGAAAAGACCTCACCATTCTGATGGGAGATCTAAACGCCAAAGTCGGAATAGACAACACCGGATATGAAGATATCATGGGACTGCATGGACTGGAAGAGAGAAACGAAAACAGAGAAAGATTTGCAAATCTGTGTGCATTCAACAAGTTGGTCGTAGGCAGCACAATATTTCCACACAGACGTATACACAAAGCTACATGGATCTCAGCGGACCACACCACAGAGAATCAGATAGATCATATTTGCATCAATAAAAAGTTCCGAAGGACAATGGAAGATGTGAGAACCAGGAGAGGAGCGGATATAGCTTCAGATCACCACCTGATTGTGGCCAATTCAAAACTGAAGCTAAAGAAGAACTGGACAACTGGACAAACAGCACTACAAAGGCTCAATACAGCCTTTCTTCGAGTTACTGACAAACTCAATGAATTCGAGATAGCCCTCAACAACAGGTTCCAAGCCCTACAGGATCTACTGAAGGAAGAAGAAACTACTATGGAGGACAACTGGAAAGGTATCAAATAAGCATTAACTTCAACGTGTCAAGAGGTTCTGGGCCCCGAGAAGCATCACCACAAGGAATGGATCTCTATAGAAACACTGGACAGGATCAAAGAAAGGAAGAACAGGAAGACAGCAATTAACAATAGTCGAACACGAGCAGAGACAGTCCAAGCACAAGCTGAATACATAGAAGCAAACAAGAAAGTGAAGAACAGCATTAGAACCGACAAGCAGAAATACGTGGAAGAACTAGCGACGACGGCGGAGAAGGCTGCAAGGGAAGGAAATATGAAACAGCTTTTTGATACAAAGAAGAAACTAGCAGGGAAATATAGTAAACCAGAGAGACCAGTCAAAGACAAAGAAGGAAGACCAATCACTGAGATTCAACAACAGCGCAACAGATGGGCAGAGTACTTCGAGGAACTCCTGAATAGGCCGGCACCAATGAATCCAGCGAACATCGAAGCAGCACACACTGATCTTTTTATGGATGTCAATCCACCAACGACGGAAGAAATCAGAATAACCATCAGACAAATCAAGAGCGGGAAAGCAGCAGGACTCGACAATATACATCGAAGTAACTACGAACATGCTTCATCTTCTATTCAAGAAGATTTGGGAGGAACAAGTGTCGATGGACTGGAAGGAAGGACACCTCATCAAGATTCCAGAGAAAGGAGACCTGAGCAAGTGTGAAAATTACAGAGGCATTACACTACTGTCAATACCAGGAAAAGTCTTTAACAGAGTGTTACTGAACAAGATGAAAGACGCAGTAGACGCTCAACTTCGTGATCAACAAGCTGGATTCCGTAAGGACCGGTCGTGCACAGACCAGATTGCGACACTACGGATCATCGTCGAACAATCAATTGAGTGGAACTCGTCACTCTACATCAACTTCATTGATTATGAGAAGGCATTTGACATTGTAGTTAGGAGAACGTTATAGAAAATTCTTCGACACTACGGAATTCCTGAGAAGATTGTCAATATTATCTGGAACTCATACGACGGACTACAGTGCAAAGTAGTGCATGGAGGACTGACGCATTCCAAGTAAGGACCGGAGTAAGACAAGACTGCCTACTCTCTCCCTTCCTGTTTCTCCTGGTGGTCGACTGGATTATGAAGACCTCGACATCTGAGGGAAACCACGGCATACGATGGACAGCTCAGAACCAATTAGACGACTTGGACTTCGCAGATGACCTAGCCCTCCTATCACATACACACGAACAAATGCAGATAAAGACAGCCAGAGTAGCAGCAGTCTCTGCATCAGTATGCCTCAACATACACAAAGGGAAGACCAAGGTCCTCAAACACAACACGGAGAACAGCAGTCCAATCACTCTTGATGGCGAAACTCTGGAAGATGTGGAATCCTTCATATACCTGGGAAGCATCGTCGACAAATAAGGAGGTTCAGATGCAGACGTAAAGGCTAGGATTGGCAAAGGACAGCATTCCTTCAATTAAAGAACATATGGAACTCAAAACAACTTTCAACCAATATCAAAGTCAGAATCTTCAATACGAATGTCAAGGCAGTTCTACTGCACGGAGCTGAAACGTGGAGAACTACAACAGCCGCCATCAAGAAGGTACAGGTATTTATCAATAGCTGGAATCCTGAAGGGAAGAGGAAAAGAGGAAGGCCAAAGAACACATTACGTCGGGAAATAGAAGCGGATATGAAAGGGATGAATAAGAACTGGAAAGAGCTGGAAAGGATTGCCCAGGACAGGGTTGGATGGAGAATGCTGGTAAGCGGCCTGTGCTCCTTCGCGAGGAGTAACAGGCGTAAGTAAGTAAGTAAGGAAAAATGACTTGTGCAGTATGGATTACTGAACACATCTTCCTAGAATGATAATCATTGATGAAGTGATAGATTACCGAACGCATATCAGCAATTACTTAACTTTATTTGGTTGTCATTAGGTAAGAATTGTACTGGTTATTTTTTACTTTTATGGCCAACTTCGCATATAATTAAGCAATTTCAATCAATGGATTATAAAAGGTTAATGAAATATCAATTTATTGGGAATCTCTAAGAGCATCTCATGAAAGTAATTATGTTTTAATAGTCTGATCGTAAATTCTACAACCTCACTTTCGCCATCAAGAACCGAATCAGAAAAGCAATATTACACCATTCAATATATGACTTTCAAAATGATTAAGATGAGGAGCTTACATGTAATGAATAAACGATGTTACCGAGTCATCGCGCACATGTATCCTGAACAAAAGGAGTGCAAGTCGATAAACTTATGTGAATTAGGATGGTTGTGATGTATATTACTTGTGTCTAGTCAGAATTTACTACAGTAACGATGTTGATTGAGACGAGAATTAACAGGAACCCTTAAATGGATCAAATCAATTTATAACTTTAGCTTCAATTGATTGCAGAACTGTACATTTGCAAAACACAGTCATTAAAATACTGGAAAGCCGTAGCCAGAGATTGTGAATGAGAAAGCCATAAAATGTACCACTATATGAGGGAAACAATACGAGTTTATTGGTACATAAGTGGTGAATATCCGGGTTTTTTTAATTTAGTCTTTTCAAATCTATTTTATTTAATTATAATTAGTGGGATTTGAATCCACGATCTCGAGTTAAATATAAGCGTTTTAACCAATATACCACAGCTCCATATTGGGACACAAGAATAATTAAATTTAAAATTCATCATTACTAACAACTATCCTTTAGAAACATAATTTCTTCTTTTTGGCTGAGAAATAAACAGGGAGACAGACGAGATAGACCAGTTTGTCTCTATCTGACTGTCACAGTTACTGCAGACTATTTTAAGCATTTTATTTATCAATCATTGCCATGTGCTTAAATAAAATCAATATTCATATTCTCAAGTAAGACAAAATAGTATTTTAAAAAAACAAAGTATTGATTTAACATTTATTTAAAGTGTGTTTTTGAAAAAGATTGATATCTACAACTTTACTGTGCAGTAAAAACCAACGTATACACTATTGACCATAGTGACTTTATTTCCACGGTTTAAATCAATTTTCGGATTCATAACGTTTAGAGTAATCCATATGGGTATCTAATCGGTTTATCAAAGTGTCTATGAACTACAACTATTCTACAACAATTAACTTTACTATTCAGCTTTACAGACCAAAATATTTTAAAGCGATGAATTAACACTTGCCAGCGAATTCCGAAAATAAAATAAAACTTTGAACCAGTGAGACAACAACGGTTTATGATTTGTGTCCTTTAGACAAAAGACTAATCAATAATTATGACCATGTTATATTCAAGTTTAATTGTTAGATAGTAATATGAATAGCAGTTAATAGATTGCAATAGAATATTAATGAAGTCGAACACTTCAGTTCCAAGAACAAAAACTTTAAAATCAATAGAATATTACATTTCGTCCAATTAAGTTAACTGGAATTTAAACCCAACTTAGTGAGCAACTGGTTCAGTTTAACAAAAGCAATAACGTAAAAAAGTAATACAAATTCTAGCTTTCTTCAAGCATCTACATATAATTACATTTAACTAAATAAATATGTATCACATAAACCCCTATTTAGTTCTTAAAACAGGTAGCTTGTGGTTCGAAAACGTATAAGATCATATATTATAATCGATTTCAGGAAGTCATCATCAATGAGTGGACAGCTAGCATCAAGTAAAAGGAGAATAACACACTTACTAAAATGTCGTGCCCATAACCCTGGGCCAGTTCGACTAGCTGCACCTTGTGCAGCACGTGCAGCAGCCATTGCTTTACATCGTTGTTTAATTACACTCTTATCCATATGAGGTGGGGCAGATTTCTTTTGATATGCTTTAAAAGTTGATGTTGAGTTCGTCAACTCTTTTCTATTATGCTTATCATCGGAACACTCAACGTTATTCAGAGTGCTTGTTTGTCGGATGGAGTAAAAGATTGGACAAGAAGATGTCCTTCGGAATCTTTTAAATTTGTTGACACTTCCGCTGAGTGAACGTGCCCTAGGTAACCTAGGTGAACATGAATTGGAAGGATTCTTCTTGACACACATAGAATCACATGATTTTAGCACATCAGTAGTTCTGTGAGCATTGTGTTTAGGAGACGTAGAATTATGGTTACAATTGCAAGATGGCTTATTTTGATTCCACCGAAAATCTGGGATATCGAAACTCCCAGTATTTTTATTGCAACTACACCGACTGCTACTAGTACTGCTAGCACTAGAACTTCGAGTTCGACTACTTCTTGAACCTGAGCTATATTCACTGCAAGAACGGGATCTAGAGTCCTGAATAGAATCTCCTTCACTTTGCTTGCGTAGTGAACGCCTATGCCGACGTCTCCGACTTGATGATGATCTAGCAATGTTTTTACTATCAGTTCCATTGAACGGTTTCAGACAAACATTTGGTATAAAATCACGATCATAATGATGTGCAGCATCTTGAGTGACAACTCGATGAGAATGCAATAGTAATGGAGGTCCAGTACGAAACTTTTCTGGAAGAGATTTTATCTCACTAGAAAAGAAGTAAACAATTATTTATTCAGATAGTAACGGAAATGCAGAAATATAATAATTTGAACAATAAATAACATAACATTTCCCTTCGCTTAAATGATAGATTCTATAATGGGGGGATAATTAATAACTTCAGTGAAAATCAAGGGACCCTGTACATATCAATATAAATAGCCCAAATAAATTATTAGCATGTTTAATACAGCATCAAGGTAGTTTGTAAAGGAAATTCGTACAGCATCGAATAGTGATCAATAACTCAAGATACTATAAATCCCAGGAGCCAAACTTTTACACAAGGAATAAAGTAATTCTAGGATTATCGTATATGATGATTCTAATTATATATCATTTTCAATCAATTTAAGCTTTTATCATCTACTTTCTTACTCAATCTATAACTTGGAGATAACAAGCTGGAAATCTAAGCTATTAAATAGTAATTCAGTGGTCTGAAACAAATAACCTGAAATTTGTGAGTTCGACTTTTAACGGCTTCATGGAAGTAAACCGCTTAAGAGTTTCGTACTAAAACGAAACAGCTTCCCAGTACACTCTGGCTTTAATAGTTGTCCAGTTTATGTAAATGTAAGTATTTGGATTTAATTCATTCTCCAGGTACTTATACTTCAGCCACAACCGACGTGTGAGGGCAAACGATACTACCTGGTTGCCCAAACTGAAGTGGGTGCAGCTAGGCTCAGATCTAGAACTTGGTGGCGAAAATTCGAACTCCTTAATCATTAAACCACTGTGATCAAAGCTTCATATTTTCGGGTTTATAGTTGGCTCTTGTCTAGTGAAACACTGACAAGAATAAATAAGTACGACTTTTCACAAACAATAGGGGAACTATTGCATGTATTTTAAAAACATTCATATAAAATAATGATTTATGTAAGCAAAAAATCTAAATAATTATTAGTTGTCTGTCTAAGCTTTATACATCAGTAAACCACGGTTTCAGACACAATCTCTAAATAGTTTGTGGTAAAAAAAAATCAGTATACATCTCAGTTACAAAGTAAATACCTATGCAATTCAACTATTACCAGGCTATTGGAAATGGAAATAGAATCAAAATCTCGAAACTATCTCAGTACATGTAACGTCATAGTAATTCGAATGTAGTGCTAAGGTCAATAAGTGAAATTTAAGAAATATCCACTAACTATAATACTAATGCTAAGATTATTTCAAAAATGAATTTAAATGGAAGTGTTCTGTATTATATCATATTTAACGCACCCAGTTAACATGATTCTGCCCAAAAAGTAGAAATTTCACTTTCAAATACAGTCAGCAACAAACACAATACCATATGGATTAAAAGAAGAAATAATCTAATTTGAACACTTAATTAAATTAATGCCTACTAAATGGCCAGATCATTAAAGTAAAAACTGTCAGCAATGAAACTAAGTGTATAGCACAACTTGGCGGAAACAAGTTATATTTCTTTCCAAACTATCGTGTTAATCGATACAACATCAAAAACATAGTTCGGTAACTACATTAGTATTAAAACAGTGAATGTGATAATGAATATTATATTCAATGTATAGAAACCAGTATTTTCTTGTTTAAAAGCTGAGTGATTTTTGATCTATTTAATACATTTTCAAATGATTAGTGAATAATATCGGCAATCAATCTATGCTATTTAGTGACAGTACCAGAGGATAACAATTTGTAAGTTTTATTTCCAACTATAATTCATCCGAAAACAAGAACCCAACTTAGATCTACTAATGTACATTCAATCTCGAGTGAACACACTTATATTTTTAAAATGGGACTAAATGAGTTGGTAAGGATATACTCATTCCAACTTATACTCGGCAGGTAGAAACCATATTTCGTAACAAACAGAACAGCAATTCCATTTATTTATAACGTAACATCAAATTGAAACATTCTAATCAAAATAGTAACCATTACTTTGTATGATTAAGCAATAGAAAGTAGTTATAAACTTTGGGGTAGAAAACCATATTTAATTAATTTTTCCTTCTTAGAAATAATTCGAGCCGAATATTTTTCCATAATTTAACTGAAATTAAACATAACACATACTAGTAAGCTATAATGGATTTATGTATTTATTGATTGTTTGTTTATGTAGCTACTTATAATTTAATTAATCTGGTAGGTTGAATTGTGTTAGAAAAATTTGTGCAGAGGCACAACTCATACGCTCAACTTCAAAAGAAATGAAACACCTGTTATTTGCTTAAACTACCTTCATTTGTATGGACCCTCTATTTAGTCTAAGTGGATAGCTACTCATTTTGGCTAGTAGTATTGTAATGAACAGGAACATAAGTGGGGACAATCGAATGTATTTGAACACAAAAATTACAGAATCTCTTAGTAAAATCTGAGAACCATATAGTAAATACTTCATTTGCAAAATGTCAATCAATCGTCTCAGACTTTATTGTATCCTCGTTTTCACAGTAATCATTCTGTTCTCGTTCTCTTCTCTCCGATCTTAACTTTCTGCCACCAGGCATTTCACTTTCGATTAATGATACATACTACTTATATCTGACGACATCAGTAACACATACCGCAGTATGTGTCAGACCATTATGTTTAAAATCGATTACAAACATCAGATGATAATTTGATCAGATTATGTTTCCTATCTCGAATTGTAAATCACGTGAACACTTTCCTTTAACCTAATAACTAGTATAGTTTACTTAAATGATGCCATAACTAAAAAATTAGACATTAATATACAAATATTTAATTATATCGGATCCTGAACTTAGATGACATATATAAATCTATAAAATAAAAGTTTTGTTTCGTTAACATAAGGAATTCCCTTAAAACATGAAAAGCGATAAACCGAGTTATTTTCAGATCATTAAAGAACCAATAATTGGGGGACAAAATACAACATAAGTACTTTTCATATCATGTTACTAGGTTTCCAACAGAGAGCTATTTTTTTAAGAATTTGTGCCTAAAAAGGAGAGGAAGAGACAGAAATTATGGTTGTAAGTAGCCATTTTCTTGAAGGTAGTAGTAAAATTGATTACGGATTAATAAATTAGGACTCATAAAAGATCAGCACAGAATTTCTACATTAATTCTGTTCGTTTATAAAATTTAAACGATGCATTCAAAACAACAATTGATGTTGCTTTGATGGGATAGTGCATTTTTAGTACTTGACTTCTTCGCAGTTTAGACATTTTCTGTTATATTAATATTTCTTCATTGTATGACTGGGTTTGTGATAAATTTACATCAGTATTACATACATTTACATTTCTCAATATTTTGGTTCACTAAATAAACACATGAAATAGACTAATTTGATGCATATAGATTTAACTTAAGTGTCGTTCAGAGAATGTTATTCAAACTACTAATAAGTGTCATGTAAATTATTAAATTTAACATTTTCAAGTCAAGACATTTGGTAGACCACGTCTCCTTAAACTCGCATCCAACATAATCATATATTGTCAGTGTTTATAGAAAAAGCAAAACAGAAAGCAAATTATATATATATATATATATATATATATATATATATTACTAGAGCAAATTACAAGGTCATACTATCAAACGTTGGAGATTATTGAAAAGTACATTCATACAGCTAGACAATGGGAATACAAATCAGCTAACAAACAATTAGTTTAAAACTAAGTTGAACAAATGATAGGACTTGTCCTCATTTGATGATGCAAAGGTAACAGTGGTGTAAATCGAGTGACATCTAACAAAGACAATCCTAAAAATGAGGTCAAAGTTAGAAGCATTCAAACTAACAAAGACATAGAGAGCCTGAATTCGCATCTGCAGAATTATAAAACCCATATACATATATCATCAGACAAGTTATCTTTGGACATAGAAAAATGACATGAATAATGTGGTTCTCTTAGAAGAAAAAATAAATTTGGAACAGCATTTGCCTCCCATGTGAGTCGATTATAAATAGAAAATAGGAAAATAATTATTCAAAATGTATCACTACATGATGGATTTCTGAACTTACCAGCTTGTCAGTAACCTAGGTGGTGGTGGAAGTTTAATTCGACCATCGTTTGGTGCCCATAGACGACGCAGTGTTAGCTGGGGCAGCATCATATTGGAAGGGGAAGATTGATTTGGGGATGAATTAGCTGAAGTACTGATTATTGTCTGATCAAGTGCTTTACTTGGCCGTAGAGGGAGGAACTGATGAGTTTTCGACTGACTAGTTTTTCGTATCAGGGCTGAAATTTGTTCACATATGGAAGCTTCAGAAGTTTGAGAACGCTGTAAATTAGTTGTACCAGCAGGAAATGGAGCCACAGATGCACATAATCCTACACTTCGTAAAGCTGCACCTAAGGATGGGGGTAGTTTAATAGGCTGTTGCATAAATAACAGAAAAACAAAGTGGATCATTATATTAGTGTGGATTGGTGTATATAGTTAGCTTTTTTCACTAACCTACAATATTCGCATATCCAAATGGTAAATATTTTTTTTAAATAACCATTTAAAAAACATTCCAAACTAATAATTAAACATTTTAAAACATTTGAAAGGCCATACACTCACAATTGTATGGGAATTTTATAAACGGAATATTTCAGAGAGTCTATCCGATGCAAACTTCAGCATTTACTCATATCCGAATAATCCGGACAAGTTAGCAGAATTTTATAACTAGAAACACTTGAAAATTTCAAATAATGATGACAAAAGTTATAAATCAGTATTTTATAAAAGTTTACCACACTTCCAAACAAATGGTCACTACAAGAGGATAATGAGTTCATGAAGTGTATATTTTATTCATTTAATGGCAATAATTTAATGATTTAAAAATTATTCCGTATTGCTACAATCAGTGAAAAAGATATTCCCCTCTACTTAACATTTGTTACATATAAGTAAATATTGAAAGCTTAAAAAGATATCGGTAATCTTAAACTTCAAGCTATTTATCAGGAAATATTAGCCATCCTGAAAGAGAGAATGGACCCATAGTTTTTGAGTAGTTCTTATGATAATAATCACAGATCTGCATTAAAGTAATGTGGTGTGATAAGAACACAATGGATATTGTAAAATTAATTTAAAGTACATTGTGTCATGTTTCTATGATGGTTGACAGCAAAAATTGAGATGTTAACATGATACTAACCAAGACTGAATTAAATAAAATTATAATTTCAGTGAAATCATGAATTGATCTAAGTTAGATCACCATTGAAAACCTGAAATAACTGGATAGTCATTTCGCCATAGCATGAGAATCCTCAGAGGTGTGCATTTATGATCCTGCTTGTAGGAATCGAACCCAGGGCCTCCCGTGTAAACGCTTAACCCCTAGACTGTTGAGTCGGCATTTAACGATACTTATGTCTGACTTCAATCAATTCACGACATTACTAATTCAGGTCGTAACCCAATCACTGAAAGATGTGGTTCGGACTAATGTCAAAATAAATGACAACTGAAATAGACGTACTCATCGTTTATGAAATAATTTTCGAAGTATGTTTCGTCTCAAATATATAGCTAATGCATCATAAGTGTTTAGCAATTTATGTAGTCTCACAAAATAATGTACGTACTGGGAGGGGGGGGTAAATAATCTCGTTCATTATATAAGTGTTTTCTTCTAACGTATGTACTTTGTGAAGAGACTTTAAAGACAAAATTAAGTGAAAATCACAACCGAACACATTGAAGCTCGTCTGATTACCGTAAAGAACTACTACTTGATATAACATTTTGAGACATAATGAAAATTTTAATAATTTCGAGGATTGAAAATGCTGCATGAAATTAGTGGTCAAAACTAAACTTATTCTAAGAAAAAGTGAATTCAGCGAAGAACATTTTCTTTTCAACAAAATCATTTACTTAAGGTATATATATAAGGATAGAAAAGATTGCATCATAAATTGATTCGAGACTAAATATCAAATGAAATTACGTACTAACTTTCCATATAACTATATATACGAATGTACAGCTTAAGTAAATAATTTCGTCGAAAAGAAAATTTTTTTCGCTGAATTCACTTGTACTTATTCAATGACACTATGGGTTATTCTAAATTGATTACAATCATATCAGAATAAGGTACCCAGTAAGAACAATACAAGTGATCCAACGACTGTTACTGAGAGAATAAAATCACCATTATCACAAATATTCAGGCTGATTTCATTAATTTATGGAAAAACGGACCAATGCATTGATAAATAATGTTCAACTAAATATATGAAAGTAACACAGACGTAGTAAGTAGTGGGAAATGTGATGGGCGAAACTAAATTGTGAATGAATCTGAACTAATAAATAAGGAAAGAGAGGGGTGAAATACAGATATAAAATAAACATTAATTAGCAATCAACTCGAGAATAATAGCAAAATATCGTTCTAAATCGCCATAACCATTTATAATATTTTAAAGGCGGCACACATTAAAGGAAAACCTTAATGCCTAGAAAATGAAATTGCAGAAAACAAAGGAATTTGTTTTCAATGTAAGCTGAAAAGAAAATTTTCGTACGCGGAAAATGAATGAGGGTATAATAAACAAGGGATACTTTGAGAAGATATCAATGCAAAAATGATCGAGAATATTTTACGTGATTGGACGTTCAGTATGATGTACTAATTAGACAGTGATGTGGCAAATGAACAGAAAACTAAACTGACCTGTGCAAACTTAATTTTGAATTCTTCCAGGCGACGATGAGCGTCTACAGCAACCACAGGTTCTTTGGTATTAGATTTCCCAACAACTTCATGACCACGCACAGTATTAATATTGGAAAGAATAGAACTAACATTCACATTTAACCGACGACCCGTGTACAAACGAAGATAACACCGCCAGTTGGTAGAATCAAAACCCCAATGGTTTAAATTATCGACTTCGGTGACGGTATGTGTATGTCCAACAAACTGCTCCGGAGAAAAATATCGACAACATGTGACACATTTGATACATTTTGAATAAGGTTCCTTATACATATTCGGATATATTAATCCTAATTGTCGTCCAAAGCATTCATGTATTACTGGAATAACACTAGATTCGACAGCATTTCTACAACTATTCTCAGGCTGGTTTTCATCATGACCAGGATCTAAGCGGTCTGTTGACTGTGTATTATCTACTGATTTAGTTGATTTAGAAGTGTCAGTTGAGACAGGGCTCAGTTGTCGATGGTCCTTAAGAAAACCCATAGCATTAGTAGTCTTCATTTCAGAATCTTCACCAATACATTGATTAACTGGAGATTTACAAGTTGAACTCTCTTCACAATTAGATCCCTCCAGACACATATTTTGATGACGAATATACTTGGTCAACCTTTCTGCGTCACTTTTACGAATTAGACCACAACTACCGACAGTACGAGGAAGTATTTGGCGTGAATGTAAAAGACTTAATTGAGCTGGAGTACATGTTGTGCATGCTATTTGAAGCTTTGTACATGCCTTATCTATGATCTGCAAATCAACATCGTGTAGCACAAAACGAAATAAATGTGGTAAACATAATCGTTTTTCGCCCCAAACATTAAATCCCATTATGACTTCACCGTCAATCAGACTGGGAACTAAAGTACCAGTATCTTGGGATTCAACTGAAGCAAGAGGATTAGATGTACTATTTGAACCCCAATTTGTCTTTGGTCTCTCTGATTGTCTTTTTAATGTAGGCCGTTGTGTAGGTTGACGACAAGCAAAGAAATTCTCACAATCATTAACTGAAGAGGAACGAGAATGTTCTGGTCGAGATATACATTTACTAGTGATCTTGGGTTTTACTTCGGGTACTGGTGGTTCAAAAGGTGCATGCATGTTCGTAGCTCGGGGTAACCTCATATTAAGAGGTTGGGAAGGTAAAGGTGGTAAGTAAATGTCCTTAAGCATGTACCGTGGTAGAGACAAAAGACCCATTTGAAGACTGGATGCAAGAGCATGCTGAAACCAACCTGGAGAATTTAATAAATTGTTAGGCGTACATAGAGTTTTCTGGGGATTTACAAGATCAGATCTACGAAGTAGTTCAGGTGATTGCGATGGTGCGAGCGAAAGATCATAGTCCTGAGGTCTTCCGAAAATTCGTGAAACTAGATTCTGTCTGAATTCAGCTACATCTGCCAGAGGTGATGTTGAGAAGTATGGATTATTGGGAAGAGGGAACGCCATAACATACGTCCAAAAAATAATGTAATATCATATAACAACGTTCAACAGTTTGAACGGACAAGTATAAATGGGATTAACCCAAATGCTTTCCCACAACACATTTCGAAGAAAAATGACCAGACGTCCCCAAACCTTATTATTTAAAAAAACGCTTCTGACAGATACCTGTCTACAATTAAAAACACAGATCACAGACGGGCCATGGGAGGGGTGTGAGGTATGAACATAACAAGGTCACACACACCAAAACGAAACGTGGGCTGGTTAAGAGAACACGCGTGGCTATTGTCTGGATTATTGTTTGTTGTCTGTTTATCTTAGTCTATGCCCTTAAACATGTCCTTCAAATTTTCTCACTTGAACGTTTCGCTATACGACGTGTCTTTGTAAAATGAGTGGGTGAGATATGAACATACAAAACGAACCCTTTTTGACCTCTGACTGGTTAACTAGCTAGCCAATCAAAAACAAGATATTATAAAGCAAACATGTAAAGTGGTTTCCTCACTTAAATATCACGAAACGGTAGTTACTGGCGCTAAAGATAGGCGCGATGTCTTTTTTTCACTGTCTGGACGTGACTTTTTGCCTGTGGTGGGAAAAATGTCAGCTATGAGACACTAGATTAGTAATAAAGTACTTTTTCGCACCGCATCGATCAAATGACAAGTTTGGTATTGATGTTCACTTAGTTTGATTCCACTTAGCTCAGCGAGCACTGAGGGGAATAACAAAAGTAATTATTCACCTTAATTTATCCACTACATCAACGTATACATGACACGTTACTACTCATACTGTATTTATCACTCCAAAACTGTAGTGATACTGAATATTCTTGACAGATTTTTGTTAGCACTAGCAGAAATAAAATTCAACGTCAATTTCTCGACAACCTCCTTTGGAACTAGAAATACAGTTATTAATGATAGAGGTTGAATTGAGTTTCACTCTAATAGCAGCTACTAATTTAAAGTTATCTTTAAGCATAGTGCAAAATATAACAGTGAAGTAAATTGTGTCATTCAATCCTCTTAAGCTCAATATAGGAAGCACTTATTAATAACCAAGATAACTTCTTCACCGTGATAAAACTAATCCTTGATCTGAAGAAATCAACTTCCACATTTCATTATTATTTCAACAATACCCTTTGAAAAAAATTACAAGGTACTGGACGGTTTGAATGATTTTTTCAGGTTAGCGCTTCCTTTCCATGGATTCTTTTCTAATCTTTGCTAACCCCAACCCTTCTTTACCAGGGCTTGGGACCGCCGTTAATCCTGGAAGGGCTCCAGATTGAGCTAATGAATATGAGTTGGATAACTGTTGTGTCCTTTACGGTACTCCCCAGTCATTGTACTAAAATTTTCCGTCATCAGTATGACGTGGTTATGTTGTATATGTTAGATATAACTTTTTTCAGTGACCGAAACATTTACATTTTTTACGAGTAAGGAGACGGCAGTAGAGTTTATGAGTGAATTTTTTAAAAATACGTATTATTGTTAATCAATTAGGAAGTTGATTTTTGAAATAGCAGTATATACATATATTCCATATAAATCTTTACTGAAAATCAGATCCGATTTAATCTCCAGAACTAGTAATTGGCTTGAATAATTTGTAATAACAAGTCGAAATGATAAAAGTATGCTATACTGACCAACTTAACTACACTAATCAGTTAAAATAGCGTCCGTAGATTTTTGTGCAAAACTGAAAGCACTGTGCGAGATACTTTGTATGCTACTAACAACTAAGTGAAAATTGGCGATATTTAGTTTCTAAAAGGCTAAAAATTGGTGATGATATATACTATGTAACCAAACAGTGAATATGATATGGTGCTCAAACTAAATTGTAAGTACCTGCCACTAATGCAAACTGTGTCAAAGTACCAGGGTGTTTCTATAACTGGACAGTAATCTCGCACTTCACTCCTGACCCTAAACATTAACGCTAACTATTTAAGTTTAAACAAAAGGGTTACAAAGTATTGTATTGTAGTTGATGTCAGTTAATAACAAAAACCCTAACTCACAACAATATCCAAAATTCTAATACATAACTGGAAGCGCTGGATGGCCGTTTCGTCCTAGTGTGGGATTCCTCAGAGGTGCGCATTCACGATTCCGCACCTCGGACTCTAATCAAAGATCTTCGATAATTGAACCAGCACCCAACGGTATCCATGTCTTGCACAAGTGGATAACTGTCTCCACCCGACACGGATTGGATTCCACTGGTCATGGCTTCTCATTAGAACTTCAGGAAATTCATCTTGAAGCTATTCATCAGCGAGCACATGATTATGATCAAAATTGGGATTTAGGGAAATTGTATTTATTCTATCTGTGTTCCATAATTCACTTTTATCCATTACTATTCTATTGAAACCAAGCATTAATTACTTTCGACGAATCAATATGTATTTTGAAGTTATTTTTATGATAACTAATCAATTTTTCTCTCTTCCTTGTTGATAGTCATTAATATGTCTTTCTTCTAGTTAGGTTAACTTAACGTTATTGAAAATTATTACATAGAGTTATAGTCGTCTATAGTAAAATAAGGGCAAGATAGTTAACTCTATACATACATAAAATATTAGACATTCATTGATATAGTTCTCTATTTTTATTAATACAAGAATAAATATTAGCATTAGAAAATGGAGAAAAATCTGTATTTTAACCTTGTCCTCAATTTGACCTTCAACGTACATGTTCTTAGAAAAGAACATAACAAACTGAGCACATTATTTCATATTATATAAAGATATAGTGTTTGTATATGTGTGCGTGTGGTTGTGAGGAATAAGGAAATAGAGAAAATGATGGTATAAGTTTGTGATAATCTGGTAATGTACTAATTATTCATTCATTCATATTCTAACAGGTCGTACTCTCTTCTTAATATTACTGTCATTACTATTAGTATTGTGTTTATAATCTATCAGTGTGAAGAATACATGTAATCTGGCTATAATAATAATAATAATAGTAATAATAATAATAATAATAATAATAATAATAATACAAACGTTGTTGTCTTTAAATTGCAGAAAATCGATAAGTGACCTGATATAGACAGTTTAGAAAGTGTACTGAATTTCGATATTCATTGTCAGTTATTTAGTTAGTCAATTCTTTATGATAAAATTAAAGTATTTAGTCAATGAATAAATTAGCAACATTTAACATTGTGCCATTTTCCATAGCATTCAATTTCCGTTTAAAATAAAATGAGAAAAATTGTTGTAAAGTTGTTAAAGGCATTCTGAAACAACAAACTTTAGACTAAGGTTTCATGCTAGTTGACATTCTCAATAAGCTATATCTTCACTAATGATTGGAGTGATAGTCCCAGTTGGATTCTAATTCATATTATATCGTGTTACAAAAACGTTACCATTGAACTTCGGTTGAATATATTTACTTAAACTGGTTGATTATTGAACCGCAATTACCGTTACTGTCGTTACTGTCATTACTACTTTTCTAATTCTGTCTTAGATCATGGACTGAATATCTCAGTCGTAACGTCAAAGGGTATTTTTGAAAACAATATAAAGCATGCGTTCTCATAAGATTCCAGGCACACCTTGGTGAAACGAACCAAGTAGCAAGAAATCTAGATCTACAGTTTCTTATTAACTACCCTCTCTCAATCAATCAAAATATGCTTCACGTTGACTGGTGTTTACATCACAACTTAATCTATAAAATTTAGCTAATGATAAGAAATAGGTAAAAATGACATTGGTTACTATTCTGTGACCAATAGTCGCAAGAAAATTGTTAATTGAGTGAAATTTGGAAGTTGAATATCAATTGGCTAAATCTAAAACTATGACCCAAGGAATCCCAAGTAAGCAATGAGCTAAAGACAACATGTTTATTGTAATTATTGAATCTATTAATTTGGATGTACTTCATACTGCTTTTGGATCTTGGAATGACTTTTTAAAAATTAAGCCTTTATTACTCAGTCAATAGCAATGAATATAGAATTTCAATAATGCTTGTCACAAAAATGTCACAGAGATACTGTCCAACTGGCTTAATTGAATTGAAAATAGCAATGATCATAAAAATTGAAAGCGCAAAAAATATTTTATTGTTTCATCAAAGAGTTATGTACAGTTTGAAATTATACAGTTATACAACAACTGGTGTCTTCATATATTCGTTTAGTTATTGACAAGATTGCAAATAAATCCGACCTGTAGGGATGGTACTATGTCAAGCCCTCATAAGTTATTCCAGCCTCTGGACCAATCCATCTATTCATTCTTCTCAAGCCACATTTTTACATTGTCACTTATCCGCTTATTAATCCTGACTGCTTTTTATTTGATCGTATGTGTGCTAATTACTTACCTTACTCATTATTTTGTTTGTAGCTTATTTTTGATCTGACCATAAATATCGATCCACGCTAGACTAAATCGAGTTGACTCATTTGCCTTCCCCATTGCGCATCATTTTTTTTATTTGCTTTCCGATCAACGATTGTACGAAATATACGTATTCGAAAATTCATTCTCGTATTTGACTTATTTAATTCCATTATTCACCAACATGATTTAAGACGATGGTTATATACAAGGAATGGCGACATGTATATTTTGATAACAAGCAGCAAACCTTTCTAAAAATTAAAAAAAAACCAAACACATATCTCATTCTAATATGAGATTTTTGGAATTCAAAACATAAACCACATTCTTAGGCTGACCAAAGTCAATATTAAAATAAAACAAACTTCAAAATTGTCTAGTCTGTTAACAATTACCTACTAGAAAGTTCTATTCTACACCTAGTCAACAGCATTATTAATATTTAATTAATGAAATAAACAATAGACTTTAATATTTCAATAATAACGAGAAACACCTAATTATTAGTATTTTTATTGGTTATAAGATGTAAATCAGCTTATAAATTAATTAAGAAGGAATGAATTATTTTCTGTCTAAAGAAATCAAAACTAAGGATACCAAAGCAAAACGAGATCTTTTTGATCATTTCTAAAAAAATATTTCTTCTTCCAAAAGAAACGATAGAAATTCACTTCTGAATAGTTA